AGGAACAAAAAAAAAAAAAAAAAAAGGATCTTGTTACCTTTTTCTTAGGAACAGCCATAAGATCCATGGACCCACCAAATAAAGGTGAATTTGGGAGCATAAATCCTATATTTTTGTTGTTATTGTTGTCGTATTCAGGTAAAACTAACGATGGTGATGAGGCTGTCGGGTAATTAACTGCTCTATCAAGCGGCGCTGGTTGGGCTATGGCGTGGGAAAATCTTCGAAGGCTATATATATAATTGGATTTTATTCGGCTGCTTCTTAGCATCAACGCCATTTTCAATTTATCGCTGCTCCGCACGAAGGGAACTCAGTTCAGTTGATGCTGAAGAAACTGACGAAGTGACAGAGGTTGGAGAAGGTTTCACAGGTTGAATTGAGGCACATGGATTCATATGGGCCAAAAATATTGGGCTTGGACTACCCATTTAGCAAAAATTTGCACAAATAGAATACTTTGAGGGGTGAAGTACTGGGGATNGGTCGAAATAAATTTTCTTTATATTCTGTACGGGTGCAGGACGGGTGCGGATTAGGGTTATAAATTTTTTTTATAAGATTACAAACTTTTCGGTGATATATTAAAATCTTACCTCCGTGATAATAATATCAACAATGGACATACCTATTCCATTTCAAAGCATATAATCAAGTTTTAAGATATCTAAACTTGAAGAAAGATGTTGCATTTTAAATTAAAAATAATGGTAATAAGAATAAGTGAAATATATATTTTTGGCGCAGCAACTTAGATGCCTGAGTAGGATTAATTCAAGCAAAAAGTATAAAGAATATACTTCTCCTCCTTTATGATTAGTAATGTATTACTTAGTTGATTTGTACTTTGAAATGATTTACAGTTTTAAATAGAAAAGCTCTTATGTGGGTAGCTTTTTTTCTTGAAATTTAAAATTTGAAATATACTATAGAGAAAAATAAGAATAATTGAATAGAAAAATCATGACATATACCGTCATTATTTATTAATGTTCAACAAAGAAGTACCATCAAAAAATTTAAAAATCAACAAAATATCAACAATACCTACTGTTTTAGATCCCATTTCTCTTCATCCTTGTGAGAATTTAATGTCTAAAGATCTCTGTTATTATTTTTAGATTTTATGCAATTCTAATCATATACAATATATTAGAAAAATTAAATAAAGCAGGTGCACCCATCCTTAAATCCTAAACTGACTTCGAAAATTTCAGTCAAAAGATTATAAATTAAAAAAAACTAAGAAGTTCAACATAAAGAGTGAAAAAACTCAAGTGGGGCGGGTTGGGGCAGGTAGATATGCGGGGCGGGTGGACACGGGTGGAAATGCTATGTAGGGTGGGGCGCGGCGTGGCAGGTTGAAATTTTGTGTGTTTATACAAAATCCGTACCGCACTGCTTGCCATCCCTAGAAGTACATAAATAACCCTCAAAGTAAATGGTCTTGAATTTTTGTCTGTTGTCCCCGCTTGCCCTATGGGCAAAATTTTAAGCTTAACAAGTATTGTGCATCGCTTGTCCCATGACAACACTTTTAACTTTTAACTTTGATGTTCAGCTTAAGCTTGGATCAAAAGCTAAAGATAATTATGAAATTCCGGTCCTTCAAGTTATTGCTTTTAGGGAACCTTTTCTTTTCTTTTTTATGCCTTGTCATATATTTCTTGTTTTAAATATTTTTAAAAAAAGGGAATTTGCTAACCAACAACATGATTGAGTAGTGTAGCATTTACCATAATTTTCTTTCTTACCCTTAGTTTTATATTACTTAATATTAACTTTCAATGGAAGGAAACATGTATAAGGAATTTAGATTGAGAGAGATATTATTGAGAGCTCCATTACTCCATTATCGATTGGAAATAAAAGGAAGAGGAAAAATTAGGTTCTGTAGAGACACCTCTAACTATTACTATTAATACAATTAATTGGTTAAGTTAGTTGCTAACTTTCAGTATTTTTATTTTGACCCCTAAACTTCCTATACATACACACTACTTGTTATCCTGGCTCAATACTCCCCCTCAAGTTGGAGGGTAGAAAGATGTTCTTCACTCCTAGCTTGCAAAGATAATGATGACGTTGTACTTTACCAAGACCCTTTGTTATCAGATCAGCTATCTACTCCTTAGTATTCACATGCATACTCGTTATGGCTTCTCTCTGATAAAGTGACAGTCGATGTCTATGTGTTTTGTACGCTCATGAAAAATAGAATTTGCTGCAATCTCGATCACAGTCTTGCTATCACATAACAGACGCACATGCAATTGTAGCTTAATTCCTAATTCACAAAATAGTTATAAAAATNCAGTCTTGCTATCACATAACAGACGCACATGCAATTGTAGCTTAATTCCTAATTCACAAAATAGACCAATTAGCCAAACTATTTCAGCTGTAGTTGATGTCATACTTCTAAACTGTGCTTCAACTAAATTTCTTGCCACCGTCTCTTGTTTCTTTGATTTCCAAGAAACCAAAGCATTCCCATAGAACACCAAGTAACCAATGACTAATCTTCTAGTCTAAAGACATGTTCCCCAGTTGGCATCACAATATGCTTTGAGATTACCATCACCAAATTAACAATCTTTGCTCTGGTGCACTCATGATATATCTGACAACCCTCATAGCTGCATCCAAGTGAGATTGTTTTGGAGAGTGCATATACTGACTTAATGTCTGTACAACAAAGGATATATATGACTTAGTTATTGTTAAGTATAGTAACTTTCCCACTAGTATTTGATATTCACTAGCATCGTTCAAGATTGTGTCTTGACCATATCTACTTAGAGGGACAACAACTTGCCAAAGTCCACATGTGATGACCCAAAATGTCATCTTTAAATTTAATAAGTAATTCTATGTTCTAAGGCCTCGAAAAGTATCATTTATTATTTTTCGACTTACGTGCGCAGTCCGTACAATTTTTCGGAAAGTTTTTATGTGAAAAATGGATTAAAATGAGAAATAGAGCTTTAAAACTCAACTAAGTTGACTTTGGTTAATATTTTGAGCAAACGGATCCGGATCAGTGTTTTAAAAATTCCGGTAGGTCCGTATCATGATTTGGGACTTGGGCATATTCCCGGAATCGAATTCCGAGGTCCCTAGCCCGAGTTATGGAATTTTGATGAAAAATTAAAAGCTTGAAAGTTTAATGATTTTTAAGAAATTACAGATGTTGGATTTATTGACCTCGGGTTCGTATTTTGGTTCTGGAGCCCGGTATAGGTCCACTATAATATTTATGACTTGTCTGCAAAATTTGGCGAGAATCGAAGTTGATTTGACGTGATTCGGACGTCCGGTTGTAAAAATATAAGTTTTAAAGTTTTCTTGAAAACTTTCATTGATTTGGTGTCCGATTCGTAGTTCTAGGTGTTATTTTGGCGATTCGATCACGAGAGCAAGTTCGTATGATGTTTTAAAACTTATGTTCATGTTTGGTTTGGAGCCCCGAGGGCTCGGGTGAGTTTCGGATAGGCTACGGGATGTTTTGACTTTGAAAATGTGGTATTTTGCTACAGCAGGTGTTCTGGCATGTTCTTCTTCGCGTTCGCGAAGGTACTCTCGCGAACGCGAAGGGTAAACTGGGCAGCTGGATCTTTCTTTTTCGCGAACGCGAAGTGATGGGGGCATTACCCTTCGCGAACGCGACCATCTCCTCCCGAACGCGTAGTGTTAGGCACGCCTGG